GAAAAAACGATTAGCCAAAAAATTGCAAACGCTAGAAGGAGGGCTTGAACCTCCGACCTTGTGGTTAACAGCCACACGCTCTAGCCAACTGAGCTATTCCAGCTTTTTGACGTATAGAGCAACCCATAATTTCTTATTTATAAAATTCTTCGAGAAAACCCATCATTTCGTGCCGTTCTCTCACGCTCTCCAAAACCCTAATCATATTCTTTGTTCCACCGTTTCACATTACTGGAATTTCAGGCATCAAGTATGCGTTTGACAATTGAATTCGGGTGAGTAGTTCGCTTCGAGCTTCCTTTTACTAGTCTATGAATTTTTATTCACCTTCAGGTTCCTCTTATTACAAATCTCCTTTTTTTGTTTTTTTTTGGGTAAATAACAGTAGTCTCTTTTGCTCGTTAAATTTTACCAGTATTAAATTGTCTATAATTGGTCATCTATGTAGGATTTTATTGCCTAATCATGAATGATTACTTTTTGTTGTCTCTATTTATTTCCGATTAGTTTCTTAATGGAATCAGAAACACGCTCTTCATTCATTCTGTTTTTTTTGGGGATTGTTCACTCGCAATAATTTTGGTTGATTATTGCGTCTGGGTTATCTGGTTTTATTGGATGTTTTCTAAGAATGTGATGGATAATGAACTTAAAAAAGAGGCCAATTGCTCTTAAAAATTGTATCAGGATTTCATTATAAGTAGGCTATTGATTAACCTACAGCTGCTATTTAATTTAATAGTAATTTTCTTTCCATTACATTTAAGTGTTTGCTTCTTTTTTCCCTTCTTTTCTTAGCGGGTTAGCCGTGTGAAGTTTTTTTCTCGGAGAGTAAAACTTTGGTTTTTTCATATTGATTGATCAGCAGTTTGCTAGTATTTTTTTAAGGTTTCATTGATTGAAATTTGAAAATATACGTGTGGTTATGTCGATACTCAATTTTTGGAAGGACATGGGAAATATGAAGCAAAACAAATCTTCAACTGCTCTACAAGTTTTTGGAGATTTAATTTGACTCAGTGTTTGTTCCCCAAAAATGAAAATGACTAGGGTTTATTTGATGGTAATATTTCTGTATGGCAATTTAAATGCTAGTACGAAGCTGACAATTGAAGCTGATTGGATATTGGAATCAATTTGGTATTGCTTGCTTTTGTTTTCCTAATTTGATGCACCATATGGTTTTTCTTGAGATAGAAACTAGTTCTAAATTTCAAATATAGTCTGATTGTTGAAATTCCTTATGGAAATTGCTTGCCCTAGCTTGTTCTTGTGTACTTTTTATATCATATGTTCACCAACATTTTTCTAGGTATTGTACTTACTCTTCAGTAAGTTGTTCTAACTTCTAAGTCTCTCTCTTTAAGAATAGACGCATTATCCACGTAGTTCCGTATCATGGTTTCCATTTTCATGCTACTTTTGAGGAAAGCATTCTGGAAATGATCTGTTGCTGGTTTTCCAATTCAGATCATATTGGACAACAAGCATTTAGGTCTTCTCTTTGGAATGCACATTAATCCTCTCATGTAACATGTTGTACAAAGATAACTTATTATTTCGTTGTCTTTCTAATTTCTTCTTCTTAGACTCAAACCGAAAAAAAGGAAAAAGAAAAGAAAGGAAAAGAGAAGAATTTTACCTCTAATTGAATTTAGGAGACCAGTGGGTGGAAATTTTTGTTTTTTTTGCTCAATGGTTTGAACTTTGAATCTTCTTTGGTGTTTATATATGCTGTTGAATGTTTTGGATCTAAATATGTTTTAGAAACATGTTGGTTATTGGTCTTGGGGGTGATTGTAGGTGATCATTAGAGGGATGTGACTTTCCAGTGCTTTATCTAGTAGAAGCCTGGGTTTTGTGCTTATACATGACATGATTATATACTATTAATCACAAATCGATAATATAGTCATAAAATTTAATGATTGGGGACACGATTCATTCCTATGTGCAGTGTAGAAAAAAGTGGTGTGCATAGCGCCTATGTGGCTTTGTGGAGGGAGGATGGGTGCCTAATTGCCTGGTCTAGGCCGATGCTGCCCTCCTAGGCGGCCTGCCCCTAGGTGGGCACCTAGGCACCCTTGTGTGTGAGTGTGTCTGTGTCTGGGTCACCTAGGAGGAGTCGCACGTGTTTTTCAGCTGCCTATGTGTAAACCATGCAATTCAATCACTTGTTAACAATTTTGCTATTCTGACATATGTGGAGTTATTCTCTCCCTTTCAGCCTGAGCTTGTGATGCTCTTTAATTTTAATTTTAAATTTCTTAGAGATTCTTTTGCTAAGTTCGGTACTTTCTAGTTACAGTCTCCCTGATACGGTCAATAAGCAAGTATTCTCCACTCCCCAGTATATCTACTAGCTTTGATGCTCTATATTTTCAAACCCCTTTGCTCATTTACAAATAATAAACAGCTAAAAATATGTTTTCATCTTTCATTGCCATTTCTTATAAGAATGCATGTAAATGTCCGCTTTCTTATTCTATCATTTCAAAATTTCTGATGCAGGGGCGGCCTAGAGCTCCTGTTTCAGTCTGTCAAGATACATCAGGTGGATGTTCCAACAAAGACCAAGGGTGGGCAGGTAAGTCTTTTATGTTGACCGAATAAGGTGACCACAATATATTATACTGTTTACTTTTATAAAAGAAGAAAACTATTGTTCTAATGCTTTTGCGATATATTTGCAGCTAACAATGAAGGACTTACTAACATGGGTTAGTGACAATTTGCTCAAGGAAAGGCCTGAAATGTTCATCAAAGGAGAGACTGTGTAAGCAGATAGAACTTAATGCTTTGGGCTGATCCCAAAACTCTTTTAAATGTGTCTTCAATGTCAATTTCACTCTTACGACAAAAGAGAAACAATAGATGATAAAGTACAAAAAAAACTAACCCAAGAGGAAAAAATATTCAAAGTGAAGAAAACTACACCCACAATTAGTTTCTCCCCAATTTTGTAATGCTAACATGCCCAAATGGCTGCATTTACTTCGGCAGGAGACCAGGTATCCTAGTTCTGATTAACGATTGTGATTGGGAACTATGTGGGCAACTTGATGCAACTTTGGAAGAAAAGGATGCCATAATTTTTATATCAACGTTACATGGCGGCTAAATCAACCAAAATCGTCTTTATCCAGCTGGAAACTATCTCTGTCTTCAAATGTATACTATTTTGTTTTAGATGAGGATATATTATTGTATATTATTGGTGGGTTCTATTAGAGCTCTGAAAGCAGCTTTGGTAGGCGTGGCTACGTAGATTGGTTGTATGAGCGTAGCTGAATCATTTGGAGACTCTAGTACATGCTCTTCCTTTGATTTCTGGGCCATCATTACCAGGAGTGCTTAGAAAATACCTACCAAAGGAATTGGCATTTTTCAAGTGCAATACACATATTTCGTTTGGAGTGGAACACTTGCTTGTTGATAGCTAAACTTCATCTAAGCTCATACTTTTCCTTTGAAGGCTGTTTCTTTGTATTGACAATACGGTGTGCATATTTAATGTGTAGTCCTGAGTAATTTGCATTTCCATATTAATCATGGTTGATGGTCCATAGTATATGTTTTAGTTATTGTTTAGTATTATTGAAATTATTGATTGTCAAAATCATCAAGAACTTAAAAAAAAGGTTGAATGCTACCATTCAGGGAAAAGAAAAAAAACTTGATTGCTTGTTTGCCATTCCATAATACTGTTACCAGCTGCTTAAGTTAACTATGTTCCTGCAAAGTGTTTCAAATGATATTTATAGGAGTTTTTTAGGAGAAAAAAATAAAAATAAAAATAAAACTGCTTAGTTAGGGGCAGTTGAAGATTCATATGGGATTCATTAGGAGTCATTTCGAGACTCTAAAACCTACTTGTTTCCAACTACATTCGTGGGTCTAGAATCCCGTAGTTTGAGGTCAACAATTCTTATCCCTTTTGATTGGAGGTGAGCAAAAAGTGGACACGGTTACACAATTGAGGAAGGGATGTTGGGGGATCCAAACCATCTTGTTTTCCTTCTTCATATATATATGGAAGATGGGCGAAAATGAACACTGTTTTCGCTCATAGGTTCGGCACTGTCCAATTTTTTCGGATGGTGTGAATTAAAAGACCGCAACGGACATAGCATGTCCGTTGTTATGCCCATTGCGGTCATTTTTTCAAGAAAAAAAATGCGGGATTCTGCCACGGACATCACAACCCCTTCTAACTTTAACCTTCTATATATATACGACTCTAGGAAGTTTAAAAAGTGGAAGGGTAAAAATAGTTGAAAAAGAAAAAAAATAAAAGAAAAATATCAGGGGGTAGAAAACATCTATGCGCATATTTACTCTCTCTCTCTTATGCGGGTTTGTTTTGTAATGAAAGTAGTGTTGTTGGAGAATATGTAAAAAGCGGTTTGGAATTTTGTAGCCAAGGCATTCTCTGCCATACCTTGGGATTTTGCTGTTTGCATATTTTTCTCTTTGAACTTGTACAACTGATAGTACTCTGTTTCATTAATAACAATCGTCTCATGCTGTGTTTTTAGTCCATATGTTCTTTCTTCTTCCATTACTTCACTGTGAGAAGTTTCAGCCCACATGCCTTCTCATTTTCATGTATTATTAGATGGGCCTACTTATCAAGAGACCATCTCAGTTTAGTCACGACCCTTTAAACTGAGAATGACACCCTTGAATTTTGAAATGGTAATCTCACTTCCCTTATCTAGAAATGAACAAAACAGCTTTTTCCCGTGCCATATTATTTTATCTCTTTATTATTAATTTGCTTTCTGTTTATTCCTTTGTAAAAATACTGGTATGTGCTATCAGATTCAAAATTATGATTATCAAAATATCTGTTCTATTATTCGAATTTACACTTTTAGCATTCATATTCTGGCTCCAAGCCATTGGGACCTGTCAGCCATTTTATCCTTTCTTTTTTGCTGGCTTCAGGAAAATATGTCAAGTTTATTGCCAATATCAGATGAAATATATATGCTCTATAGAAAAATGAACATGCATTTTATTAATAGCTGGGAGTTATCTGAAATCCAGGAATTTGGATGAGCTTAGGGCTTTCATCCAAAATCCACAAGCTTAGATGAGATAGAGAAGATAGTTCACCTTCCTGATGGAGGATAGACTTGTTTTGCAATTGGGTATTTCATCCCAAAGTCATTTATTGCATAGAGTGTCTTCTGCCTGTGCTCAACTGGACACAACATATACAACACTGTAAACATTGGTATATCTAGGGACTGTAATTGAGAATTCACATTCTCTGAGCTTGTTGCAGCAATTTTTCTCCGCTTGAATGTTCAAAAATAAAAATCTCTGTTTCCCATGTTGGAAAACCAGAAAGAATGATTCTTAACTACCTCTTTACAGTGAGAAATAAACAGAAATAAACACAAGTCATCCATGTACCGTAAACCTTAAACTTCAATCATTTTCTGATTCAGACCAAGGTATCTCCATCTCTCTTTCTCTACAAAGTCTGCGTCCAAAAACCTTGCCACGAACGCCCAAAGTCTGTACATGTCTTCGAAATTTGACAAGAAACTAACTGTAACAGTGACCACTGTTACTCCTAAATCAACTTTCTCTCTCTTCCCAGCCAATGTTGCTTCTTGCGCTGTTGCCTCTACGGTCACTTCCTTGTCTTCTTCATGCTTGTCTTGAAACCAAATATTGCACAGGGAACAGTAACTTAGAGAGAGATTGCTTCTATCTGCAAGCTTTTGTACAAGCACCGGTTCTACTTTCTCTCCCTTCCAGTCAAACACATTGAATGCCACAGCTGGGCCTCTGTTAAATTTTATCCTTGGTCCATAAATGCGAACCAGGGGAAGGCCTCCAGCCTCTGAATTAGGGTGTCGAAGCTTCAGAAGTGCGGTTACAAGCCAGTTTACAAGGTACCTCACTCTGCTACTGATCAAGGGCAGGCCTAATTTATCAGCATGGTCTAAACATCTACATTCTATCTCTAAACGTCTTGTCCCTTTCTCTGTATTCTGATGCATTTCTGTCTTTGTAATTGTAGTTTTCTTCTTTTGAATGACAATCGTGTCTTCACTTTCTACTATTTCAGAAGGTGTCTCTCTGTTACTTACGTTTTCTACTGGTGCTCCTAATTGTGGGCTCGCTTCCTGTTCGTTTCTCTCTCCTTGGTGATTAATGGGTTTTAGAGAAAGGGGACCCGAAAAAGAGCTTTCGTAGGATAAATTATCCTCTTCGTGTCGCATTTCTGATTCTAAGATGTGGGTTATGTTCTCTTTGGATGAAGAAGAAGACTCATCTTCCTTGGACCATGACTGGTTTTTTGCAGGCACAATTCTGATAATCCTAATACTTTTCGGTGCCTGCAAGGCCGAAGCTCTGGTTTTATTGACAAAAAGGCAGGAAAAACCAGATGGGTCTTCTCCAAAGACCTTGAAAAATGAACATACGACGAACTCTGGTTGGAACAGAGAGAGACCCAAAGTATCCATGTCCTTTGGGCCCAATGAGCAAGCATCCAAGAGAACATCCCACCCATTTTCCCTTGCTCTACTCATCCAAAGGTATGAATATCTGGCTCCGGAGAGCCGAGATTGAAGGGGAAACACAAACAAGCCCTGTTTCCTTTTCTTTTGTCTCTTCTGATTCACCATGAGTTTTTTAAGCTTTTGAGAATGGATTCTTAAACAAGGCCAAGTGAAGGAGGCTGATAAAATTCTAGCTCCTCTCTTCTTAGAGCTCTCCACCATTGCATTGAGGCCCTCACTATGATAATCATAAACTGTGAGAAGCCTTTTACTTTTTTGGAATGGATATGACTCTGCCAAAAGGCTGAAGGCTGAAGCTCTATTAACAGTGAAGACCATAATGTAATCACTCTCTGAAATATGCAGAAACTTCATAATTCTCTCTCTAATCGATGATTCCAAGTCACCATTTCGGACTTTTTCCTCTGGAAATTGGATTGTTGGGCTTGCAGATTTATAGGAGATATTGAAGAATGGAGAAGCGTAACTCGCAGGGGCCGAAGAAGAAGAAGAAGCAAGCATGCCTGGTTGCTGTGAATGAGAGAAGAGACCAAAACCAATGTAATCAAAGCACACATGGTTAGAGAGAGAAAGGTGGCTGTATTCTTGGGCTCTTATCTGGTCTGTTGTATTAGTTTCAAGGTACTGGGGATAAGTTAGAGAGAAGTTATGAAAACAGTCTGATAGAGAGGGGAGGGACTCATGGTTGGTGAAATGGGTGTTTGGGAAGAGAGAGGAAGTGGTTTTTATAAGGAATTCACGGCATGGGGTGCTTCTATTAGGGTTCGGAGCATATGTTAAGGTGGTGAAAGGATTGAGGCAACAACCATGACATGCTTGAGAGACCTCTGCTGAACATGGAGAGTACATGTTTTTTGGTTGTTGGGTTTTCTCTCTCTTCCCCTTTTCTGAGATGATTTATGGGTTTTGTTGACGAGATAGATGAAATTTTTATACGAGTGTTGAGGTTGGGGATGAATCTTGTAAATTACGGGGTTTTCAATGGTTTCTGGAAAAATGCTTGGGTTATTTTAGAGATTTTCTGTTATACCCTTTTCATTTTCTATCAACTGTGAGCTTTTCTTCTCAATTAAAGGACCAAATCGCTCCTCCATTATGCTTCATTTTCAAATTAAGGCTTGTTTTCAAAAACAAATTACAGGAACAAATCACTCCTCCATTCTCAAATTAAGGCTTGTTTTCAAAAACAGAGTGGGGGAATTGGGTCGGGACCCATACTATTTTAGAACCGGTTTGTTCTTAATTGATTTCTCATTTGGATCGGTAATTTAGATCAGGAATTGTCGGGTTTTACTATTTTGGAACCTGTTTGCTCTTGATTGATTTCTCATTTGGATCGGCGATTTGGATCAGGAATTGCCAGGTTTTAAAACATTGGTCCATAAAACTATATAGAAAATTGGGGATCAATGTTCATAAAAATATGTCCAAAATTGGGTCCTAGATGGATATGGATCCAGATCCGATCATGGTGCATTACGTGCGCAAGTCATTAGACTCGTATTGGTAGATAATTTTTTTTTTTTTTTTATTAATTTATAAATAACACCGTAAATATACATATGGTCATCCGCCATCCGTCCTCATTGAAGGGTGATGCAGATGAGTCGCATGTGCTCTGTAGAATCCACCATTGTCAATGTGTCAATGGCGCATCTACCCCGTCAGTCGACGATGATCGATGGTGGATGGTTAGTCTCTCTTCCATATACTATACACCCAACATGGATTGGATGAAGAACTGATGATGATTTAGGAACACACGCAATTTTCTAGAGCATGAAGGACACATTCGTAATTTCTTTTAGGAAGAAGGGGAAATAATTTATTTAGTTGCATACACAAATAAGAATATAGTAAACGAGTAAACAAACAAGAAGAAAAGGACGAAGAGTCCGAGTGGTGGCCGGCAGGCATGATGCAGGCCCTTTTAGACTCATTCTTAGGATGGTCCACCCTTGGGACCAAACTATTACAAAATTGCCCTACTTCCACATATCACCATTTGTCCACTCATAATCTCGTGATAATGAAAATAATTCGTAATCTTTGTTTTAAAGTTTAAACTCTAAAATTGAGTTTCACATTTTAACCCCCAGGTTAGCCCAGTGTTTCATAAATCGGCTGTTCGAATTGGGACTCGCTCGAGTTGGACCGGAGGCTCACAATTTTATGCTATTTTTAGAGCCTGGTGTTGCTTGGGCCTCTTGATTTTCTAGTATTTTTTAAGGTCCCTATTTGGTAATTGATAACATAGGAGAAAATGGCACGGTTTCTCAGTTATTATTTTTTCCTTATTTGGGAATATAGAAAAGTTTGAAAATGTGGAGCCTGTCTCCACATTTCGACGCTTTTTCTCAATTTTAGAAAAAACTGTAGGTGCGGAAATTTTAGAAAAAGGGGAGAAATACGAGACCTCTCTCGTGCCCCGTTGATTTAATCTAGCCTCGCGATCTCTCTCCCCTCTAAATCTCTTTTTGTCGACCCGAAGCTTTTTTCAGTTTTCACATACAGGTTACCAAAAGAGTTTTCAGCTTCCAGCCGTGAGTTTTTTACTTCTATTTTTCTCACGCTTCCATTTTCTCATAAATTCTCTAGAAAACCAACTTTCTCAGTTAGCAAACAGGTCGTAAAGAATTCAACCAAAAAAACAGGGCCTAAAGCTTTTTTTTTTTTTTAAGTTAAATATATCCCTCTCAAACTTAAACTCACCCCAGCATTGGACCAATGGGGACTCAGTATAGGAACCATGCTGAGTCGGAACCCTGATTTGATTTTGGAGGTTCAACCCCAATTTTTGAGGTTGAACCCCAAAATAAGTACTAACTAGAGCAAAAGAAATATGGACTGCTTAGTCATTTATCAAAGTAAGCAAGGTCTATTCTGGAATTTCAGAATTATATTATTCTGGGAGTTTGAATATGGGTACCAATAACATGGTAGTGGGGAAGTATCAGGAAAAGGTGATAATTGCATCTGACAGACAAACGAGATGTAGACATCAACGGTTGACTTTGTAGCTTTAAGACTGCGTAAACCGTGCGGACAAATAAAGAGGGTAAGTTGATTGATTTCTTTGTCTAAAGACATAGTTTCCTATTTTCATTTACAAGTTTCAATTATTGTGGCTGCAATTTGTTCAATTTGGATGAAAATGGTATAATTGTTTTTTAAAATCTTGATGTGGGGTTAGTTTTTGATTAATTATTTTTTATAGGGCAATGATGGTGAGACATATGTACATAAGGTGTGAAGCATTGGTGTACATGCTGAAGGAATAAAGATCCAAGTTAAATAAAAAATACTCCTGTATTTTCTTAGGGTACTCGATGAAAAGTTTGACTAGAGGCTATAAGATCTTGAAAAGAGGAAGATGATCACGAGTAGGGATATGGTCTTTCAAAAAGACCTAACTATTGAAAACGTAAAGGAATATGAATAGCGACGAATCCTCAATGTTTTAGAATGGGTCATAGTTCTTCCTATATTAGTACGTGAAGACATTGGGGAAGAGCAACAAGAAGATGGGTCTTAAGAGTCTAAGATGTCGGTTCTAGGTGATGTGGAGCAAGGGAGCAGCCTGTTCAAGAAGAGCCACCTATAGTTGAATTGAGAAAGTCTTCTAAGTTACATAAACGCTCTATTAGATGTCATGCATTAGAGTATGTCCTACACACTGAACGAGGTGGATCAGAAAGCTATCAGGAAGTCCAGGCCGACAAACACAAAGTGTGTGGGTTAAAATTATGCAAGATGAGATCAAATCCTTGCATAAAAACCACATCTACGACTTCGTAAAGTTGCATAAAGCCAAGAAGGCATTGAAATTAAGTACTAAGCAGACCCCTTCAACTTAAAAGAAGAAAGAAGAAATACAGAGAATGCTCTATGGGTTGGCCATAGGTAAGTTTGAGATATGCTATGGTGAGCACGAGGTTTGATATTGCACATGCAGCTGGCATAGTGAGCATATTCATTACTAAATTTGGCAAGAAATACTGGGCATTAATCAATTGGATATTCAGATATCTCAGAAGAACATCCAGAGTGCATTTGAGTTTTGGGGGAGGGAAACTTGTGTTACAAGGGTACGATGTAGACATGGTTGGAGATATAGACTCCAAGAAGTCAATCTCAGGATACTTATTTACTTTTTCAGGCGGAGCTGTTTCATTGTAGTCACTTCAAAAAGGGGGTAAACTGCTGCAAATAGAGAAAATCCATACTAACAGGAGTACATTAGATATTGATGAAAAAGACCTTGACCAGAGAAAAGCAAAAGTCATGAACAAGCATCGGTGGTATTGGGATAGGAGGGGGAGATTGTTAGGTGTCCCATCCATAGTTGGAAGTAGGGGAATAATAATATATCGGCAAACCAAAATATCTATAATAAATTGGTTTTATTTGAAAAGTTAGAGGAAAAAATTGGGTAAAAAATACATATTGCCAAAATATAATGTAAGTTAATCATAAATATTTCAGACTTTGCTCAAAAAAATAGAGTGAAAATATCATATATGTAAAGATGACACAATATAGGATTATGATATGCAGTTATTATATAGATACATTAAAACATTGAATAATAAATTTATGGCTTTACCTATTATCGTTAAAGCAACGACAAATTTTTTTGTGTGTATTATTACTCTATTGTTACAACGCAAAGTGTATCATAGATTTATTGGGAGAATAAAATCCAAAAACTAGGAGTACATTAGTAACTAATAATAACTATAAACGATTTAAATGAGCCATAATGGCAGCTTTGAATTTGGTGGCTTGTATTGTTGCCATAATGGCAGATTGTATTACCATAGATTTATTGGGACCAAAAACAAGAAGTACATTAATAACTAATAATAACTATTTAAATGAGCCATAATGGCAGCTTTGAATTTGGTGGCTTGTATTGTGGCCATAATGGCAGCTTGTATTATATTCAAATCCCTTCCAAAGTAAAGAATTCATGCGAATTTTAAGATGAGAGAATGTATAAGAATTAACCTAGGCCAATAATTACCAATAATTTTACACTTCCAACTTTATTACAACTACTATATGGCCAATAATTTCCAATAATTCTCTACTAAGAATCATTAACTTCAAATTTCAAACAGCAAAATTAAAAGTTTCTAATGGGTATTTATAAGGGAAAAAAAAATATCACGCATAGTAAACGAGAAAACAAACACAGAATTCAAAAAGAAAATAAAAATCACGCATGGTAAATGAGAAAACAAACATAAAATCTAAATGAGAAAAACAAACACAAAATATGAATCCCATGTTTCTTCTAGATTTACACCACAAGCTTCAAATAATCCTGAATGATATGCAGTTCTGCTATATACATAGGTTTTTAAGTTTAATGTCATTATATAACACATAAGAAATAGGTTCAAATCTTCTGAAAAAATATGTTATATCCAATGTTCCTGTAATGTTGAATATTTCTAAGATAATTACCATTATAAATGTTATAAATGTGTTATTTTTCAGAAACTACAATGAATATTAAAAAAGAAGAAGATCACATTAGTTGTCTTTGTTATATCCACTGAATAATGTAGGTTGTGTTGCTATTAAAAATAATAATAATTATTTAATTATCACATCCATAACCGATATTCGAGTAAGCGGCCAACACCATTAGATAAAGGCATAAACACCAACTCCATATGTACTGTTTTTTGAACCCTGGTTGGACTAAACAAGGCATCGGATCAATTGCTTTCTCAAAATCTATAAAATATCTTCAATGTTATTCTTTACATTCTTTTCTAATGCTCCTAATTTTTAAAAGTGGTGCAGTTGGCATACGGATGCGTCCGTAGCTGTAAAGGTAAGGTGCACCTTCAAATTTTATCATGGTATATAACTTTGATGTAATATATTTTTATGATTATCTCAAAATCTATTTTTATATCTAATTATAAAATTTTAAATTTTAAAAATGGTTAAAATCAAGTAGATCTATAAACATATCAAAATCTTGAAAATGG